ACAAATATTTATGTAAATCATGTAAATCAAGTAATACAAAAAACTCCCGATTTTAAGCACCACCCAAAGATTTGATCCGATTTTCCCTTCAAAAATGTGGTGCTTAAAATCGGGAGAATACGGTAACTGATTTCTAAATATGAAAATTTATGTAATTCCAACCGGAATTATGAAATTACAATTTTTTTAAAAAATTTAATTGGTTAGGACCGGGTCTTTTATTAGTTCAAAAAATTGGGACCAAAAGATCTGCGGACCTGGTCCAAGGACTAAGTCTTTAAGTCCAGGACCTAAGACTTTACCAACCCTAGATGTGACGCTATGTGACAAATTTGCTAGCCCCCTTAAACTAATCCTAATTCTACCCTAATCCTAATCCTAAATATAAACCCTAACTATAATACCGGCAAATAAAATCCGGCTACCATTTTTTGCCATTTTTTAAGTCACACAACATTTACGATACGCGAATTAATAGCGGACCACAAATCAAATTAATTCACGTTCTTTTTCTTAAAGACGCGTTACGTGACATATATAGGCTTAAACCATGATTTCGTATGTAAATAAGTTACCACAAGAAGTTTTAAGTCTTCTCCGTTACTCTGGTAATTTACTATCTTAGAAAAATAATTTTCAGCAACCAAACATTGGATATGCCGTTTATCCGAGAAGTTGTTTCTGATCGTGATTGGGTTAGGAATACAATATACAATCTGTAAGTGCTTTAAAACTGCAAAATCTTAAACTTAAAACATAATCTTATATTTAAGTATTCTATCTTATTTACAGGGTACTTGAATATGAAGCAAAAAGTTTAGAAAAAAGTCATTTGGAAACCTGGATGTTACTACATGTTTTGGTTTTTTATTGATAAAGCATTTGCAAATTGAAATGTTGAGGTAATATAGTTTATATGGTATTTTTTTGTTAGCTTGGAATTTTTTTTTCAACAACATTATTTATTGTGTCTTTCATCAGGGGAGAAGCAAGTAGCCTAGCATCAGCCACAAGAAAAAATCAAGTTCGTAGCTTACCAAACTAACCTTGTTACTTATATAAAAGAACGAAAAAGTAAATCATCATATCGCAGGTTTTTGAATCTTTACCGTGATGACATGGTTACTTATTCACTTTCGCTTTCATTTCTGGTAATTTGATTGACCTCGACAATGCATGGGCTCGCAATTTTAGAAAGGAAGCAGAAAGATTGGTGAAGGACTAAAGCACATTAATCGACTTAAAAAATAAGGTAAAAATAAGGTACTTTTTTATTTTGCAAAATGAGGGTAACTCCTAGTCGACCCCGTCTTGGCTCAGGAGAATTACTGGGTTTATTCGCTTGGTATCTAATCCAATCTCTCAATTCAGGCGTCCTAACTTTGTTGTTGGTAAAGGTCTGTTGGTTTTGGAGGAGGAACTAGCTATGTACTTTTCTTTATCACTAAATAAATCTTTTGCACTAGCACACTGCTAACAAGCTTTTTTCTCGTAACAGGTAAAGACAGAGCGTTCACAATGTGCGAACGGTTTGCAAACATTCTGGCAGGAAGTGATTGAAGAATGTGGAAGGATGAGTAAATATATTATGAAACTTTCGTGTATTGGTTACATGATTCACTAAGATAAGCCTGCTTATTATTGTACTGTAGAATACTGCAAAACGAAAACGAACTGAGAATGATGAGAAAGAGAACCTTGAACCTTCTTCAAGAAAACATTTCAAATCCATCATTATTCTCGTTTGTCTCGTTAAAGGAAATTCAAGTGTACAAAGCCTATTATTTGGACACCACGTCTTATCATTTTTTATATTAAAAGATGCATTTCACTTATGTTCTTCCATTGCATTGGAGTATTGGAATTAATATATTCAGTAGAGATACGTATCTGATGCTTTAACAGATTTGACATTTAGGATAAATTTATTATTCGCTATGCTCAAAATCAAAACTTAAATCTCTATGAATATCCTCATTTATAAAAAATCGAAATGATTCATTAGCAGAGATATGACCTTAAAACTTATCTAAATAAAAGTCAAGAGTTATAACAATTTGACTAAATTTAGGTTTTTTAAATAGATTTAGATAAATTAAATAGTTAGATTTAAATAGATTTAAATAGGTTTAGGTAAATTTAAATTATAGTTATATATTTTATAAATAAATATGATGGGTTATAATAAATAATTGATAATAAATTAATAAATTATTCAATTATAACATAATTAAAATTGATTAATTAAAGATTTTAGAACTAATTAAATTTTTTAAGTTAATTTTATTATAATTTAATCTGAATAAAGTGAATCAAATTAAAGATTTAATTTGACTTGATATTAGATCAAAAATTTATATACCTGATCCTTATTTTTCAGATCAACCTATCAGGTTACCTGATCTGTCAAATCAAATTTAGAACTCTAATTTTATATATTAATTTTCTTAATTATTATAATTTATTTTATTTATTAAGATAAAATAATTAAAAATAAAAATTTTTTTTGAAATTCTTATAAAAAATAATATATTTTTTGAAAAGAAAAAAATTTTTTGATTCTTTTATTAAAAATATTTTTTTAAATGAAAAAAAATTTATACATTGAATATTAAAAAAATTAATATAGTAATATATAAAAATAAAAAAAATTAAATTACAAAAAATTGTAGTTTAATAAAATTAAAATTAAAATTAAAAAAAATAAAAGTTATAAATAACAGCTTTAGTAAAAAATTTTGGCTTTTTTATTTAAATTAGCATTAGTATTAATTTTGATGTTGACTTTTTTTTTTTGATATATATCAGAAGTTATTTGATCATTCTTTCATAATTTTTAAATTTCTTGAAGTTATTAATATCTTTTATAGATAATGTGACTTTCTAAAAGTTTTATCTAATTTAAAATACTATTTAATATGATGGTTTAGAAAATTTTTTAAAGGTCAGCTTTAAAAGTATCTATTGTATAAATACTTTTTAACTTTATATATACTATTTTTATATTTTAAGCTATTTGAATTCTTAATCTAAAAAAAAGTAATTTTTTTATCTATACTTATTTCTTAAGTTTATTAATATCTATAAAATTATTAAATAGATTACATGTTATCTTTTAAGTTTTATAGAATTATTATAGACTTTGATATAATTGATTTTTCTTTCTACTCCCAGATATTAATAGAAATATCAGAATTCATCTTTTTAATCTTATTAAAAACTTGTAAACTGATAGAAATAGATATTAGAATACTATCTAGTTTGACTTATTTTAAATATTTTAAATATAATTTAAGCTTTTCTATCTTGTAAATATGTTTAAGATGTTTAGTATAACTATTCTGATATATAAAGAATATATTTAATACTTTTTAAATATTATCTGTTAGTTTACTTATAGCTAAATTAATAATTTTTGAATTATCTGGATTGATAATATGATTAGTATTAGCAAACTTCTTAGAAGTGAGAATATATTATCTATTATAAATATAACAAAATATATATGCTTCAATTAATATCATCTTAATTCAGATATGATGTCATTTTGATTTACTTTCTAACATTTAGATGCTTTGTAATATAAAGAAAGAAACTTTCAAAAAATTTTTATTTTATAAGTTAAATATTATTTTTTAATAAGATAAATCCAGATTTAATATTAATTCAAAAAAAATTTTTGGTAATTTCTCATTTTTTACTATAAAATATTATTTGTTTAATTTTTTTTTATCTATTTATCCTACTAAAAAAATTTAGATATTCATCTATATATTCTTTTAAAAGAATTGTACATATTTACTTCTATAATAATATTAAGAAAAAGTATTTTTTAGGCATCTCTTAGATTAGAATCAATATTTACATAACTGCAAAATATTATGATAGTTAATTATTTGATCTTTTTTGTAATGTTCTATTTGAAGAACTTCTTTAATTTTTTGTTAAGATATTACTATAAATTAAGGCATATATAGTATATCTGTATATTTCTTTAAATCTGATGTCAGTTTATTAAAAATATATTTAGGATTTTTATTAAATAAAACAATAACCTCCAATTTGTTTAACGAGAAAAGATTTCTATAAGATTTTTAGATTGCCAATTTATGTTTTTTTAAAGTAAATATCTTCTTCTAAAGATTCTTGATAATCTTTATAAAATAAATTAAAAAATTTTAATTTGAAGTATAATTTCAGATAAAATTTATTAATTTATCAATTTTATTATATTTGATTTTTTTTAGTGTTTAATTTTTGTAAAATAAATGTAATATGATATTAATAATATAAAATTCTATTGGGTGATTAATATGTATAATAGAATAATATTATATGTTTTCTACTATACTTTAGACAAAAATAAATCTATTAAATATTATTTTTTTATTTTATCATTTTTAATATATAAGAATTTTCTAAATATATATATATTCTCATTTTCTATTAATTCTAGTTCTTTAAGAAGTTCAAATTACTATTTTTTTGATTTACTGTTTTGAAGTTGATCTGATATCTTTGAAATCCATTTTCTTTGTATTTAGATTACTAAACTAAAACTAACTTTTAAACTTTTCTTCTTGCCTAATTATTTAAAATTTCTTATATTTCTCTTTTATTAGTAGGTAAATTGCTTTAGAATTAAAGATAGTATTACTACTAGTTACAACTGATAACAAATAAATATTAAAGAGTTGCAACTAGTTGTGATATTAACAAAAATTAAGTTGTAACTAGTTGTAACTAGTAATAAATAAGCATTACATAATTATAATTAATTGTAATGCTATTTTTATTTAGAATTATATTACTTAATATTATAATAAAAAAGTTTAAATTAATTCAGGTTTTCTGATCTATTATGATCATTAAGATCAAGATCCTTCTATCTTTTTAGTAATTTTATTTTTTATGTTTTAAAATACTTATTAAATTTTTACCATTTGGATTAATTCATCTTTTTACCTTTTTCTGATTAATAACATAAATATTCTTCTTATTTTAATCATTAATTTTAAGAATTAGTTTGTGAATATTCATTGAAGAGTTAATAGATTCTAATATTCTTATTAATCATATTCACTAGTAAGCTAAAGTTTTAAAGATTATGATCTAGATATATTATACAAAAAAGGTTTAAAAGTATATTAATTTTTATTACTTTTATAATGCAAATGAAGCTTTTATAGGCTAATAAGAGTTTTTTTACAATTAATATATTTAATCTTTTCTAGCTATAATATTATAATAAGTCTAATTTTTAATATATATATGTAAACTTTTACTCAATTTAAAATATTTAATTATATGTGATCTTTACAATAAAAAAAAAGAAAATAGTCAAAAAAAATCAATTTTAATTTAATATATCAAATATAACTTTTAAATTAAAATATATTTTAATTTAACATTAATTTATTTTTATTTTCTAGTTATTTTTTCTTTTATTATTATAAAAATCCTATATGATTCTAATATTTAATTATTTTTTTATCTATTTTTGAATATATAAGAAAAATGTGCTAATAAATATAAGCCCTAAACTTAATGTAATAAGTTTATTAGAGTAATATATGATTAATGTCAATTATATATTAAACTACTATATGATCTAATATATTAATAAATTTTAAAATAATGTTTAGATATTAGATCTTAAGTATAATTTTTGAGATTAGACTTTTTTTTCATCTAAGGTTAGACTTTTTTTCACTTAAAGGTTAGACCTTATGACTTTAAAGATTTATAAAGTAAATAACTTTATTATATTTTTTTATATATTTTTATTTTGATATATAGTAAGTTTTTATTAAATTATCATCTAAAATGTTTTTTTTAAACAAACTAAAGTTTAACCTCTAATGCGTAAGTCTAATCTCTAATTTATAAGTTTAATCTCTAAATATTATTTTTTATTTTAGTATTTTTTTAATGAATTAGCTTTAAAATGTTTTTCTATATAATATAAAATATTGGTATATTAAAAATTGATTATTTAAGTTTTAAATCAAAAATTTGATATAGTTAAATTTAATCTTTTGAGATCAGACCTAGCATATTGATATCTAAAGATAATATTTAGTAATCTTAAGTATTTTTTAATAGATCACTCTTGAATTAATTAGGATAACATAAATTTTTTTATATATTAAAAGGAATTAAATTTAGGCTAGAAAGGTTAAAAGAAATAGTATAATTTTTAATATTTAGTATGATAATTATATATCAAGTTAGATATCAGAATATTAGATAGTAGAAAAAAAGCCTAGACTGATTTAATTATTTAAAATTATTACTTATTATTTATAATAAGAATTAAGTCAGAGAAGGTTAGAAATTTTTTTTTGAATAATATTTTCAAATTTTAATTCAGAATTCTTATTTTTATTTTATTGAAAAAGAATAAAAAAACTTATTATTATTTGCATCTATTTCTATAAGTTTTTTTTTTGATACTTTATTACTTAAATACATTTACTTATATCTTTAAATATAAAAATATTTGTAATAAAAAATTTTATAAAATTTATTAACAAATAAGAATGGTAAAGTTTTAATGTGATTATGCATATTATAAAAATTGATTTTAGATATTAGATTTAAAATGTGAACATTGTTACAAATATTTAGATAAATCTATTGATAAATTGATAAAATCATATAATTAAAGATTATATTTAAAAAAAACTTAATTAAAATCAGATATTAAAGAAACTGATAGTTATAAATTGAAAATTAAGACCGATATATTTTTGATAAAATTTTTACTAATAATCAATATTTTTAGAGTTTTTAAATAAAATCTCATAATAAACATTATAAAATATTACTAATCTATCAAATATCTCTTTAATTTATTATAATAAAAACTAAAGTTTTTTATTGGTTAATAAATGTTGAACATACACATCTATCTACCAATTAATTTGGCACAGAAAAAATGATCCAATTAAAACTTGACATGGTACATGTAATTTCTTATTTTATGAAAGCTTTTTTCTCTACCACTTCACGTAGAAACAAATTATAACCATAAACAATAATGATTACAGATACGACACTTACAGTCTTGTGCAATTCATTAGGAGGAGTTGTAATGGCATTAATTTTCGCTTACCACTTTGTGGTAATAAATTCTAAGGATAATTCCAACAATTCTAAATCTAAAGACAAAAATGTTTCAGAGCCTATCAAAGAAAATAAAACTCCCGAAACTTCCAAGGAAAAGAAACTTTCAGAACCTTCCAAAGAAAAGAAACGGTCTGAACCTTCCAAAGAAAAGAAACGTTCTTGAACGAAATATAAATTTTACCATATAAAATTTTTTTTTTGGAAAGTGTTTCTATAGTTTTTTTTTTTTTTTTGATTCATTTTTGGATATAAGAATTAATTTTATTTTGTCGTATAAAGGTAAGCTTGTTTTTTTTCTTCGAAGTTTAAATATTGGCGTTAATTAATTTTTATAATCATAACTTTATTAGATGATGATTAATTTTAATATATATTAGTTACAAAATTTTATTGTATAATCTATATCGAAACTTTGTTAAATAAAATATTATTATTTATTATATTTTTCCGCCAAAGCATCGAAGAGATCAATATTATTATCTCTATGAATAGTGACAATGTCAGCTTGAGCATTTGGGAGAACAGTTAATTCTGAAATCACAACATTCGTAGGACGATTTGCACCAAACACAACACATTCAGCTGAAAAGAAAAAATAGAAATGTGAATCACAAAAACAAGCTTTAATGAATAATGAATTAACTTAATTATCTTAATTACCTATGTCTTTTGCATTAAGTGGGTCATAACCGGAATAATAGATTTCGGAGAATCCAGGACTTCCTCGGCTTCTGTTTAAAGTGAATTCTGTTTCTACAGATCCTATATTATTATAAGAAAGGGATATACCTAATTAGGGAAGATGTAAGAGTTAATTGATTTATTTTGAGCATGATAAATTACCTGGTCTTATTATAAGAACCCTGATTTTTGTTTTAACGAGCTCTTTCCTCAATGATCTGTTTCAAGATGAATTACAAATCTAATGAGTACAGGTTTGATTCTTTCTTAAAAGATTTGTTCATTATATAATCTAACTTACTCGGTAATTCCTTCAATAGCATGTTTCGAAGCAGCATAAATAGAATTCCCGAATCCATGACTTTGTTGACCAGAAATACTTCCCATCATAATAATGTCACCACTATTACGTTGTTTCATTCCAGGGAGAACAGCTTGTATAGCATATATTATTCCATTTACGTTTGTTTCTAAAACTGTCTGAATTTCTTCTTGTGGTTTTTTTTCTAAAGGTTCAAATCCAATTGCCAACCCGGCCTTTACAAATGTATATTTTGGTCAGACTAGTAAAGGAATGAAAAAGAAAATACCAATATATTAATATATTTACATTGTTGAATAATACATCAATATCTTTGAATCCTTGCGGTAGATTTTCGATTGCATCATCGATTGCTTGTTTATTTCGTACGTCAACTCCATCAATGTGAATTTGTGTGTCTGAATACTGGTTTAAAATTTGTGATTTTAATTCTTGTAACCTCTCAAAGCGTCTTGCGAATAAAATGTGATAAACTCGAGAAAGTTAAAGAAGTTTTTTTTTTTATTTTAATTAATTTATACGAACAAAAAAAGGATATGAGTTTAGAATTATATTTGGCAAATTCTAATGCAGTGGCTGCCCCGATGCCTGATGATGCACCTGTGCTATAACAAATTTTTTTTTTTTAAAATAAAGATAAATAAATAAAATAAAATAAAATATTAACAACATATTTACATCAATACCACACGACCCGATAACTCTGTATTCATTTTTATCGAATGTTAATTTTTTAATTTATATCATTTACGGACTAAGGTACAAAGAGGGAATTTAAAAAATTTTTGATCATTTGTTAAACAAGATATTATATAACCTTAAATAAAAATTTGACAGGAGAATTTAATGATGACCACTAAAATCTAATGAAGATCATGCATTTCATTTTTATTCACCTTTCCCTAATACGCCTATATACCAAATTTGGTGATTTGTTTTATGAAGGGTTAAACCTTTTTTTGAAAATTAAAAAAAAAACTTTTTTAATTATTTTCCTCTTCCTAGAAAGCTAGGAGAACCGCTGCTTGTGATATCATAAATGACGTATCGTGCACACTTTTAACCGCTGCGGAGTATAGTCACGTGTAAATGATGCAATTATGAAAACATATTATCCTTTTTTGGATCTGGATCTGCAGGAGTTGGGTTTTTTTTACCCACAAAGAATTTCGGTTGGCTGGTTATAAAAGGTAGGTTGTTTTGATACCGACCTTTGTTTTCTTCAGTTTCGTAACATAATTAATTGTTTAGAACTCAAATCTTTGAACCTTTTTGTTTTTTTATACTTTTTTGCAAATCTATTAAATTTAAGAGCCCTTCCCTACAAAATATAAAAAAAAAACAAACATGAGTACAGAAGAAGAAAGTAAAGCCTCCATTGCTTTTGAAATAGAATTTAAAAAAAATCCTAATGCTCCTTTTCCAGAACACTATAAAAAACGGCTTGAAGAAGAAAGTCAAAGAAGTTTAAATGATGAAGAACTTCGAGCGAAGCTTAAGGCTAAACTTGAAGCGGCAGAGGAAAGGAAAAAAAAAGCAGAAGAAGAAAAAGCAGCTAAAGCAGCTCAAGAAGTAGCTCACGCTAAAAAGGTAGCCGAAGAACATAGAAGACTTTCCGATACGCAAAAATCAGAAAGTTTGGCTAAATTACGAGAAAATTTGGTTAATGCTGAAGCGAGAAGAGAAGAAGTTCAAAAAGAGAAACTTGGAAAGATTGCTAAACATCACGAAGAAGTTGATAATATCTCGAAAAAATGAATGTAAGTGTTGAGAAATATTTTTTTTTTTAACCTTTTTCTAAGCTGAACGAGATTTTTTATTTTATTTTCTTTTCCAACATCCTTTGCAGTTACGAATTTTTTTGCGTTCTCTTTCATATATTTCTCTGTAATTATTATCCAATGAAAGTTTACGCGACCAGCACGTTTTTACCTTTTTAATAAACATCATTTCATCAAGTAATTTTAACGCGTCATTAAAATCATTTTAATCTATTTTAATCCTCGATTTTTGTAAATGCACATCGATATTAAAATAAATAGTTTAAATTTAACATTTGTAATAAAAATTTTAAGGTTTTTTGTGAAACATCAATGATTTCGTTAGTCTGACGAGAATATGTAATGTATGTAATTAAATGTGGCTTCCCAACCATAAATTTCTACGCAACTTTCCGCTATTTTACCGGTGTGCGACGCTCAGGGTAAACAAACAAAACATCTTTGAGAAAATTTGATAAGATAATTATTAATAAATGAAAAATTAAAACATTTAAGGTGATTGGCAATCATTAAAAATTTTTTAATACGCACAGCATTTTTTTTTTTTTGTCTCTCGGATAAGCACATAATTTTATGTGAAAATCATTTAATAAGAGTTTTCTTCAACTTTAAAACCTACAAGACCACAATTGATGATTATTCCTTTTAAAGCTATATTTATTATCCAAATACAAAGCAATTAATCGCTTGTTCATATATAAATATGGTGCATAAATCAATGAACGACGTTTATAGGAGATTTCTCGAAACAAAAAACTCATCTCCTTAGGCGTACAATTCGCGGTTTGGGTATATATTTGAAGATCATTGAGCAATCGATGCATTTCTCTATATTACACTACGTCCCCAAGATATTACCACAAGGAAATTTAATTAACTAACTTTCCTAATTAGTTTTGCTCGGATTATATCTTTCAAGAATGCAAAAATACGTTGACCCGAATTCAAATTACACGATATTTTTTTGTGCAAATTAAATAAATATGAGTCCATCCCACATCCTTTTCAAAAATTCCCTTTGCGACAAAAAATCCTTTTTGCCTAGAGCGAGAGGTTATTTTTAATAGCTCACCTTCATTTTCTCCCTTTATTCCCCTCCATATCCGTTTTCGCCTCTCCCCCTTTCAAACTTTCCTTTAACTCTCTACTTTAATAGTTCGACACTCTTTAATTTTGTGTATTAGAATATAAATATATTAATATCCTCTTAATAACCTAGAAAATTTCTTCCTCCTTTTACCGTTTATTTTCCCATAAACCCCTGTATTTTAATTTCTTTAATATATATATATAAACATGAAGTCATTCAAGGTAAATGTAAAAATTGTAATTGTAATCGTTAATTGAAACGATTCTAATTCTTTAAAATTTTTTTTTTTTTTTTTTTTTGTTTAGAAAATATTGTTTTTCGTATTCTTAATTCATTTGACATTAGATGTTGAAGCCTTTTGTAAAAATTACGGAAAGATTTGCCCCGAAGAAGCTCCATGTTGTAACAAAGGCTGGTGTTCTAACGACCCAAAATTTTGTTCAAATGGTGAGTTTTCTTTTATAAAAAGTGATTTCCTCTCGTAATTCGGTGACAACAAACGGTAGGGTTTGAGATAATTGCCGGGAAATTCAGATAACCGGCAAACGACAACGATCCCGACCTTTATAATAATTACCAAATTAATCGAACAATAGTCACATGACACGCGTTACATTTTTATTTACCAATTTTTGAATTTTACTCATTAGGATGCGAACCTCAAAATTCTTTCAATGAAAAATCGTGTTACCCGAAACCACCATGCAGAAATTTTGAAGATGATTTCTCAAAGAATAGATTAGTGAATGCTAATGATTACGATGGGAACCCTAAATCAGCAGATTGGACATCGGACTTTTCACCAGATTATGCTCGTTATGAAAATGGTAATTTAGCATTAGATTTAAAATTGGATAAAACAAAGAAAAATAATCAAGGAAATTATCAAGGTTTTGGTGCCACGGTTAGTACCACGTTCTTTATGCTATACGGTACCGTTACGGCTCGTATCAAGACCGCGTCAACTTCCAAGGGCGTAGTTACATCAATGGTGGTATCAAATAACACGATCAATTCTATTGGAGATGAAATTGATTATGAATGGGTCGGACTTGACCGAACTGAAGTTCAATCTAATTTTTATTGGAATGGTACATTGGATTATACAAAAGGTGCTCATCATAAAGTTGGCGTTGATACGACAACCGAATATCATAATTACACCATCGAATGGTTGCCTGAGACACTTACTTGGATGATCGATGGTAAACGTATTAGAACCGTTACAAAAGAATCAACTTGGGATGCGGCCGCTAAAGTATATAAATATCCGTCCGTTGATTCAAGAGTTTCTTTCTCAATTTGGGATGGTGGTATGGGTCAACCAGGAACCGTCGAATGGGCAGGTGGGCCAACTGATTGGTCAGTTGAAAATAAAGCTTACACCATGTATGTGGACTCGATTAGCGTAACATGTAAAACACCAGGTCCAGATAATTATGTTTGGCCACCCGAAGGTTATGGACCATCAAAAACTCAAAACTTAGAAGGTACCAAGCCAGCCTATACAACTTTGGGAGAAGGCCAGCCTTTAAAAACAGGAAATGCTGATGATCCCGCAATCATTGGTGGAACTTCTGCAACTGATTATAATGGAAGCCAATTAAAGAAATTTGCTGTACCAATTGGTATCTTATCTGGTTTAGTACTTGGTTCCGCTGCTGTATTTCTTAGTTGGAGAATGTGCTTTAAGCCATCAAAAAATGTTACTCCATACGGAAAAGCATAAAAAAATTTAGATAATTAATTTATGTTTTTATAATAGATATTTATTTTACCTGTATACTATCTTTTAAATAATTTTAACTTTGTACTTTCTAAAAAAAAAAAATGGAAAAAAATGAAAAGAAAAAAAAAAAAAAAAACTCCAGGTTCTTTGGAGGGTTTTTTCTTTAAAATAAAACAAAATTTCATCCATTCAGACCTTTCACAAATAAAAGGATGGGATAATTATTAATTGAAAAAAAAAGTTCATGGTATTTGATTTTTTCATGGAATTAATTGGACGACAGGACATATGTTATAAATACATACAGTATATAATGACTTATTTCTCAATCTCTAAAAAATCTATAAAATTCTGGACAAAACAGAATGAATGAATGATTTCACATGATTTGCCAATCATCATTTTGTTTTTGGAATTACATTTTTCCTTGAATTTATCCAAAACTAGTAAACCTCGTTGAAATTCTTTACCCCCTAAAATTTATAGTCGTTTTTCAGAAGGAAAATTTGATAATTAAATTTGATGTTTTATAAACAGAACAGCAAACTGAACAGCATCGTATCATAATCGATAATCGTACAGTATTTAATAAAAAATTAACAGGATATTTCCTTATATAAGCAAATCGAAATTATCTTACTATAAAATTATATCTTGTTCTTCTTGTTCTATAAAAATGATGTTTCCTTTACGTGACGCGTTTTTTTTTTTTGGTTTTTTTTGTTTTTGAAATGTCCAATAAAAAAGTTCCGAATCTTGAAATCATTATCAAAATTAAGATTCTGGGGAACAACATGGCATGGTATGACAGCCGATCAAGCAACATCTTACCGTTAATATATATTACATATTTGTTCTACATTATAAAAGCTACATTCGTATATATAACTTTTTTTTTCTTTGCCTCTTTTATTTTTTTTTTTTTTCGCATTCCTCATTAAGAAACCCCTTCCACAATAAAATAAATATAATCTTTATAATCATTATTTATTCATTTATTCATTTATTTATCTTTTTTTAATCATGAAACTTTAATTTTTCTTTTTTAAATAAATTTTTTATTACACTTTGTTACACTTTATTTATTTTTGCATCATTTTCAACTTTTCATTCCCCACTGCCTTTATGAATTTGTAATAAAAATGCACTCACCGACTCTATTAGTAAAGGCATTATATGATTTTGATTCAAATGAAACTAATTTATCTTTCAAGAGAAATGATATCATACAAGTGTTCACCCAACTGGAATCAGGTTGGTGGGATGGAGTGTGTAATGGCGAACGTGGCTGGTTTCCAAGTAACTACGTTACGACTTATGAAGAGGATGACCTTTTCGACGATGAAGATAAGGTAGGAGATTCTTTTTATTAAAAAAAAAAAAAAAAAGGTGCTGAATAAATAATGTATTTATATACATGTATGTTTATGTTCCTTTTTTTTTAAAAAAAAAAACTTTCTAGTTAGGGGATTGGATTCCTCAACAAACTCCAGATGGTGATATTTTTTATTATAATACAAGAACAGGTGAATCGTCATGGGAGTTACCAGCAGATGATAGTGAATCCATTACAACGATAAACAGGGACACAATAATAAGTAGTAATGATAGTTTAAGACAATTACCAGAAAATTGGACACGAAAACCTACTGAAAATGGAAAGACTTATTATTATCTAAATATCATTACTAAGGAGGTTAGATGGACTTATCCTGAAAATGGTACTACAACCGTTGCTTCCAGTAATTCTGATATTGATGAAACTGATGATAAAGCAAGCATTGCAAGTTCACACGATAGTCAAATAAGTTCTACCACAGATGGCACGATTCAACAAAGGTCACTACAAGGGTCACGACAAGGAAAACCATTTGAAAATGAATCATTATCTAATGGAAGTGAAATAGAAAAAAAACTTTCACATGAACAATTACCTCCAATACCCACAGAAACAATACCTCATCAATTAAAGAATATTTCAGAATCCTCAATTCTCATGCTACAAAATGCTAATGAACAACTTACATGGGATTCTTTATTACGGAATATCATCTTGGCCATCGATCATCTTAATTTGGCAACCAAAGAGAATATGAAGAAAAATTACCCAGATTGTACTAATGTCATCGTTGAAAGTATTAGAATTATGCTTTATGCATCTGGTGCTATTGAAAAAGATTCACCTGCTATAAGGCAAAATATGAATCTAAAGGTTTATCATAGACATATAATGGCTTCACTTTCAAAATTAGTCCTTTCAACAAGAGTGGCTTCAAGTGTATGGCCTCCTTCGGATGCTGCTCAAAAAATGAAGAATGATGTTCATGAAGTATTAATCGCCGTTCAGAAATTTGTTGAAACCGCTAAACCTTTAGTAGTTATTAAAAGAGTTGATCCAAAAATCCTTGAGAATGTTACAGGTGGATCTTGGCGTGGTAATAACTTGTTAAAAGTAATTACAAACGGGATTAATGGAACGAATGGTCGGTTCCCAAAACCACCTTCAATTTCATCAAGTGTAAATTCTCAAGAAAATAATAGCCCTCTAAACTCCCCTACAACTTCCAGTCCATCACATTCTCTATCATCAGAACTTAATGTTTTACTGGAACAAAGTTTTCGCACTGTAAATCAAGCTATTATATTGCTCGTCAATCATATTAAAAAAGTGATCGATGCTCCTCAATCTTTAATATCCAATACGAGCGTTCCTTTTGCTTCCCAACTTGTTTCACAAACGAGACAAGTTGCCACACAAGTTGGACAGTTCTTATCTCTGATTGAAAATATAAATTTAGAGGATTTTAGTGAGTCTAGTTCAGACACAATTAATGAGTTTAAAATATCCAAACAAGCATTATATAATAACATAGCAGCGTTGGTTATTTGCACTCAGTCAGTAGCTGACCCATTAGCTTCATTAAATGCTTTGGACAAAGTTTTAACTACTACAAATATAGTGGATAAAGTAGCAAAAGATGTTATTATCGCTATCAAATTCCTCGTGGAAGAAAATGAAACTCGAGAGCAGATGAAATCTCGTCCAAGACGTCCTACTATAACTTCTAATTCTCTTGATCAAATCGTTGAAGGAAATTCAAATGATTTAACAGAAGATGATCAATCTACGACTCCTAGCACATCTCCTCCGATTTCCTCCTCAATGACAGGATTAGAAACTGTTCCTGAGGATGATGTTATGACAACTGATGGTGATTCAACAGTTGTTGTTGACGCAGTTTCTTATGATAATGATATCCCAATGTCACCGATTTCAGCCGGTGGAGAATCAATTTCAAGCAACAATCGTCATCGTTCGAATAGTGCGGTCTCTTCCGTCACTTGGAACGATGCTGCATCATCCCAATCATCTCCTCCTCTCCCTTCACAACAATCCCCTGTTCAACTTGTTGCTGCTACACCTTCGAATGCCGATTATCCAAATTCTTCATCCTCTACACTTGATGATGGGACTAGATCACCACGTAAAGAACATAAGGTTTCAAGGTTTTTCGGTGAAGTTATTCCTAAGCAAAAAGAAAAAGATGATAAACCTTGGTACCTTAGTTATGATTATGATCCTTCTGAAATGTTGTTTAATATGGAAAGTTATGTAAAAGGAGGAACTCTTGACGCTCTTGCAGAAAGATTAACGTTACATGATTCATTAGATTCAAATTTTATCGCTACATTTTTGTTGACATATAGATCTTTCTGTACAACAGATGAATTGTTTGATAGGTTGTTTAAGAGATTTATGATTCAACCACCTGATGGTTTAACTCGCGAAGAATTAGAAGTTTGGCAAGAAAAGAAACAAACGCCTATCAGATTAAGAGTTTTTAATATTATGAAGACTTGGCTAGAATATTACTATATGGATGATGAGGATGCACCTTGTCTAGAAAGATTGAGAGAATTTGCAAGCACAACAATGAATGATCATATGTCCTTTGCTTCAATAAATTTAATGAAGTTAGCCGATAAAAGGGCAAGTATTCTTTATACATACATACAATGATGATAATTTTCAAATGATTTTTACGTGTAATATCTTAATTTGTTTATCTATTTAATTATAGCTTCAACATGCCAAATTTAAAGAGATGATAATAACAAATAATGACAGGCCACCAGCACCAATTTTACCCAAGAATATTAAGAAGCTAAAATTCTTAGATCTAGATCCTTTGGAAATTGCTAGACAGTTGACTTTAATTGAGAGTAAATTGTACAACAAGATCAAGCCTGTTGAGTGTCTAGATAAGGCTTGGAGTAAAGAAGAAGGTGATAATATAGCAGTAAACATTAAAGCCATGATTGTTAACAGTAATCAGGTAAGACTTCGTCTCCTTTTTCGTATCAATATAACTAATTAATGAATTAATGATTTGTTATGCTCTTCATTAAAAAATTAGATAACGGGTTGGGTAGCAGAATCAGTTTTAAATCAATCAGAAGTTAAAAGGAGATGCTTGTATATTAAACATTTCGTAGCAGTAGCCGATAAATGTAAATTTTTGAATAATTTCAATTCACTCACCGCTATTATTTCTGGATTAAATTCCGCACCAATTCATCGTCTGAAACGCACATGGGAATTGGTTAATGCAAAAACCATACAGACACTTGAAGTTCTTAATAAGACCATGAATTCTACAAAAAATTTTGCCGAATATCGGGAGACGTTACATAGCGTAAACCCACCATGTGTACCGTTCTTGGGTAAACCCTTCATTTTTTTTTTTGTTAAAAAAAAAACACTTGTAATTAGTTAATAACAAAAATTTCTTCTCTTGTTCTTAGGTGTATATTTGACAGATCTTACCTTTATTGAAGATGGTAACCCAAACACTCTTAAAAAATCCCGACCATTGATTAATTTCTCGAAACGCATGAAAACAGCAGAAGTAATACGTGAAATTAAGCAATATCAATCGGTTCCTTATAACCTCGCTGCCGTACAAGAAATACAAATGTTTATAAAGTGTCATCTGCAGGATAGTCGAGACGTTGGAGATCTATACGATCAAAGTCTTAGTATGGAACCAAGGTAATTAATGATATTTATTATTTTCTGATATACTTTTTGGGAAATCTTTTGATGTTAATATTAAAAATATATTAGGGAACGTGAGGATGAGAAAATTGCTCGCTTATTACAAGAATCTGGTTTCCTATAAAGCTAATTGTTTTGCGTATGACGTTTGTTTAAAAATAAATAAATAAATAATTTTTACCCAGATAGACTAATTTATAGACCTTTTTCTTTAAAAAAAAATGTTTTGACGAATTAAAAAAAAAAAAACTAAAGAAATACATACGGTACATATATATATATAAATATAATATAAATATAAACATTTTTTTTTATGTATTGTATTTTCTTTTTTTCTTGTAATCAATATATACATAACACAATATTACATCCTTTAGAAATTTCATTATTTATTATATACTAGAGAATAATAAAAAAAAAAAAAATCGTGATAAATATTAGAGATTAAAAAATGTTGTCGAAAAAGTTATACATTATTTTAGGTTATCCCTTAATGACATTCATGAAATAATTAGCTTAATTCATTTGAATTAATATGTAATAATAAGATAATTAAAAAAAAAAATCAAAAAATCATAATTATTTCATATTTAAAGACCTTTATTATTATTTCTATTATAACTTTATATGTAAAATTACATTATAAAATTATTTGAAATTATTAATTTATTAATCTAATACTGTGATAAACTGATAATTTCTATTAAAAATATAATCTTTATGTTTCATCTTTTTTTTTTTTTTTTTTGATATTATTTATATTTTATTAGAGAATTAAAGTATATAAATTTTTTAAAGCTTAAAAAAATATATTTATAAAGAATCTGATACTTATGATTAAACTTTCGTCAAATTTTGTGTTTGATTAAATTTTTGATTAAAGTTTAAATCTTTGACTAAACATTTAGCAAATAATTAAATTAAACTACTTTTATAATATATAAATTTTAAATTTTATTTATTTACCTTTATTAAAGAATATATTATTATTTAATATTTATTAATTTTAACTTAAATCTTTTATTATTTATTATTAATTAAATATATGATCAAAAAATATTGCTAATTAACATCATAGGTAATAATTATTTATATAGTAAATAAAATGTAATAAATGTTATTTTATATACAAAAATTCTTAAATTTCTAGAATTTATAATAAAATAAAATATTATTAAAAATTGTGAGTTAAAATTCATAAAAATCTATAGAAAATCTATGAAATTAAGTTTCAGTATTTTAGTTTTTTAATTATTAAGGATTAATAATTTCAGTTTTATTAAATAATTAAATATTTTAAATTTACCTAGTATTATTAATTATAAGTTTTATAATTTATTAAAAATAATTAAATTTTTGAATTTAACCTATTAAAATAATAATTATTAAAATAAATAAATATTATATAAATTGAAAAAAATAATATAAATAAAATAAAATTATAATTACAATCAACTCTTGATATAGCAACTCTTAATATAATAAAATTTGAACAAATATAATAAAAATACTCTTATCATATTGAATTGGCTAATCAAATTTCTTAAAATCCTTACTATAATCTTATAATAATTGACATAGAGTTCATTATAATAAAAATAAATTATAATTATTAAAAATAAATATTGTAATTAAAAAAATAGTATAATTAAATTATAACTTATAATACAATTAAATTTATTTATAACATAATTAAATTATAATTCAATTAAAATTTGAAAGTAATTATAGAAATTTTTTTTAATAGCTATATAAGAACTTTAGACAATTATATCAGATATAAAAGAAAAAAAATAAGAAGATTTAGAAAAATCTACCCAAAATTTTTTTGGATTTTATACCTATTTTTATACATATTACATATAAAAAACTTAAAATTTACCTAAATTTTTATATATCAGATTAGTAAAAAATTATTTTATTTATTTTTTTGATTAAACAATATAAAATACAAGATAAAATACTATCATTAGAAAATGTTTAATAAATCTGATATGCATTAGATTATAATAAATACATATTTACAAATAATATACATGATTTTTTTATTTGATTTCCCAAATAATAAAGTATTTATTTAGATAATAAATAATAAAAATATTCATATCCTTCGTTATACTTTAAATAAAATAAATTATACTACAAATTCCTGAATATTTTGGTAGATATATATGTAATTATATTAGTTTTATTTATAAGTTCTTTAATATACAAATAGTTATTTTTAGTTGATGTAAAGTAATAAATTGCAAGTATTTGTATAATACATATTTCCTTATTAATTAATGCTTACACAAATCCTTTTTTTTGTATTAAATAAAATGAAAAAATATTTATCGTATAAATTGATAGAATATAATTTAATTATAAAAATATTTAATTGAATAATTAATAATTAGTAATAAAAAATTATTAAAGTTAGTATAATACTTATTATAATTTAACAATGATAAATTTTATGAACTTTTTAATATTTAATTAATATTTTCAAATCTTTTCAAATATCTTATTATTCTAAAGTATTTTAAGTAATCTTGAATTATTATTATTATTAGTAATTTATGCAATTATTTTACTAGCAATAGATAGATTAATTTCTGATGAATCCTAATCTCATTTTTGAAATTATAATCAGATCATTTTTTTTAAAGTATAAGTCTTGTGATATTTCTAATATTGAAGTAATAGACCAAAAACTATGTCACTATTATTATCTAATATAACAAGATTATTATTATAAAATTGTTATAAATTTGTATTATTAGATAAATTTGTTATTTGTTCACAAGTATTTATCAAATCTTTATTTGTATAATTTTATAAATTTAAGCTTTCAATATTTTCTATTATTTTAACTATTTTCATTAAATTTTATCTTTATTTTAAAATTCTTTTGTTAAAATTTCTTCTGTTAGTATTATTTCACTTGCTAAAAGATCAATTAATTGCTGATTTGTCTAAGATCAACACTTTTTTCATATTAAAAAAAAAGTTAATTATTATTGATCACTTGTATAATACAAAAGTTTCTAAAAATAATAAGTCATTAATGACGCACAGATAATAATTAAGATTACATTATATACTAAAATGGAACCTGAAGAAAAGAATTTGCAAAAAAAATTATACATTCATATGTAAATAAAAGTTTACTATATATATATGTCAGATTTACAGTTTAAATATAAATAAATTTTAATATTTTATTGTATTTATTTTATCATTTATGCTAAAAATAAATAAATATTAACCTTATAAATTATTTTTAAGATTTTTTTCCTTTTAATATGCGTTCTGCTACTTCTATTATCTAAAGTATCATTGTATATTTTCAACCTTATAAGAAGGAAGTAATCCAGTTTGAAATAGTATTTTTTTTTAGTACACTTTCTTCTTTTATTTCTCCTTCTTACACTTACTGTATCAGCTCACTTCTTATTTTTACTACCATCATTTTTTTCTTAGATTAGCAGTTAACAGGTCAAATAAAGAAGTATCAGATTATCAAGTTTTAAACAAATATCAGGATAAATCAGGAATCAATATTTGCTGAAACTTGATATAGCCACATCAGGTAAGTATCGATATAATTATTATCACATAATATTTAAATATAGGACCTGATATTATAAAGAAAAATCAGATAAGTTCTGGAATTTTATAGGATAATCTGATAGATCCTATGTTCTAGAAATTTATTATCCTATCAAATACCCAATGACTTTCTAATTTACTGCATCAGATCGGTTAATACATAGTAATTTTTATTAAAGTTTTTAGATTAATATTTTTTTTTAAAAAAATAGAACAATTATATTTCACAATTCAACTACTAGAACAAATTTTTTTAATCAATAATATATATTTATTGCTGTATTAACTAAAAGTTAGTTACAAGCTACAATTATCTCATAATTTACTAATTATCTTATAATTTGAAAATGTATTACTTAATTAACCAATTAATATATTAGAATGTAATACAAAACTTAAATTAAAATATAATATTAAAATCTCTTGTAATAAAAAAACTCTCTTTCAAAAAATAAAAATGTACATACTATTAATAATCAAATATGAAATTTTCTATTTATTGGAATAATTGACATGTACTTTTTTAGTTTTCTTTGACCAACTTTAAAACTTCCTGAAATAAATTGACATAAAATATTGTGGATAGGAATAATACAATCTC